ATATCCATTCTGCAGCTCATGAATCGAGTAATTTTTATTTTCAAATCTTATTATTTATTTTTATTTTTTACATCATGCTATTGATCTAAAGATTATTTAAGAAATACATTTTTAAAGGCTATATAGCTGGCATAAATAATGATTTCTTTTCTGGATCTGGGCAAAGTAAATTGAAAACCTTCTGGAAAGGATTCACCATTCTAGATGCCATTAAAAATATTCATGATTCATGGGAGGAGGTCAAAATATCAACATTGACAAGAGTTTGGAAGAAGTTGATTCCAGTCCTCATGGATGACTTTTTTTGAGGGGCTCAGGACTTCAGTGGAGGAAGGAATTGTAGATATGGAGATACAGCAAGAGAATTAGAAGTGGAGCCCGAAGATGGGACTAAATTGCTATGATCTCATGATAAAACTTGAACGGATGAGGAGCTGCTTCTTATGGATGAGCAGATAAAGTGGTCTCTTGACATGGAATCTGCTCTTGATGAAGATGCTGTGAACATTGTTGAAATGACAACACAGGATTTAGAATATTACATCAACTTAGTTGATAAAGCAGTGACAGAGTTTGAGGATTGACTTCCATTTTGAAAGAAGTTCTGTGCATAAGATGGCATGAAACAGCATTCCATGCTATAGAGGAATTTTTCATGAAAGGAAGAATATTCATGTGGCAAATTTCATTGCTGTCTTATTTTAAGAAATTGCCACGGCCAGCCCACCTGTAGCAACCACCACTCTGATCAGTGTGCAGCCATCAACATCGAGGCAAGACCCTCCACCAGCAAAAAGATTACTACTTGCTGAAGGCTTAGATGATCATTAGCATTTTTTGGCAATAAAGTATTTTTAATTAAGGTATGTACATTGTTTTTCAGACATAATACTGTTACACACTTAATAGACTACAGGATAGTGTAAACTTTAACTTTTATATGCATGAAGAAATCAAAAAATTCATGTGACTTGCTTTATTGCAGAACTGAACCCACAACATATCCAAAGTGTGCCTGTACTCTTACCTTCACCAGGCATAAAGTAGAAAGAGTTCTGGTTCTTGAACAATCCGGTACTTGCTTTTAAGGAAGGTGCAGAAGTGGGGTGTTTAGCTTTTTCTTAAGGTCTTTGTATAAGGCTTTCTTTTTAATTGTGAGAAAGCTTGCTCCTGATCACTTCAAACATTAACTCACTGGGGAAATCTTGTATAAACCAACATTACCTCTGAGTTATACTGACATCATTTCCCTGTTTACTAATAGCATTTGAACTAATTCACATTAGAGTAATATACTTTGTAGCAAAACTCATCTTGAGTCTCTTTTTAGAAAAGCTTTTTTTTTTTTTTCTTTTTTTGAGACAGGGTCTCACACTATTGCCTAGGCTGGAGTGCAGTAGTGTCATCATAGCTCACAGCAACCTCAAACTCCTGGGCTCAAGTGATCCTCCTGCCTCTGCCTCCCAAGTAGCTGGGACAACAGATATGCGCCACTGTGCCCAGCTAATTTTTCTGGTTTTTTGTACCGACAGGGCTTCACTCTTGCTCAGGCTGATCTTAAACTCCTTGGCCTCTCAGAGTATTAAGATTACAGGCATGAGCCACCAAACCTGGCCTAGAAAAGCTATTTTATTGACCACCACCTTAATCAGGAGGTGTTATCAATGATTATGAAGTCCAAATCTTTTATTTCATCTTTGCCTCAAGACTGAATTCTACTCATCCTTTGTTGCTCAAAGACTTTAGTTTTACATTAAGCACTTGCCTCTTCTCAACCCTACAAATCCCTAATTTGCTAGACGTCTTTTATTCTTGATTGTAAACTGTTTTTTTTTTTTTTTGAGACAGAGTTTCACTTTTTTCCCACTCTAGAGTGAGTGCCTTGGTCTCAACTTAGCTCACAGCAACCTCAAACTCCTGGGCTCAAGCAATCCTGCTGCCTCAGCCTCCTGAGTAGCTGGGACTACAGGCATGTGCCACCATGCCCGGCTAATTTTTTATATCTATATATATTAGTTGGCCAATTAATTTCTTTCTATTTATAGTAGAGACGGGGGTCTCACTCTTGCTCAGGCTGATTTCAAACTCCTGACCTTGAGCAATCCACCTGCCTCAGCCTCCCAGAGTGCTAGGATTACAGGTGTGAGCCACCATACCTGGCCTGATCATTTCTTTTCTATCCTTTTCATGTAATAAATTGTTAAATAAAACTAACAGTAATAAACACACTCTTGTAATAGTCCGTTTTTTCACTAGACCTACTAGCTTTTGTGGTACATTATCTACCTTCCAAGATAACTAGGTGATAGGTTTTCACTGATAATTTCACCACTGCGTAATATAAATTGCTCATCTTTTAGCTTTCAGTAACTTTCCTTGCCTCCTTCCACCTTGTTCCTAAGCCTCTGCTGTATATTTCAGGTTTCTTGATAAGGCAACACCTCACTTCTAGGTTTTCCACCTGTCTCAGGATAAGCCAGTTATGTTACAGTAATAAGCAATGCAAGATCTTGGTGGCTTTTAAAACACACTGTGTGTATCCTATAGGTCATCTCAGTCATTTGGGGACCTAGGCTAATAGCAGCCTTCACTTTAAAGATTGCTAGTCACTTGCCAGAGGGAAAAGAACTCTGAAGAGTCTCATATTGGTTAGGAAATACCCTGGCATTCCCCCTTGTTGTTGGCCAGAAGTAGTTGCAGGGCCCTACCCAACTACAGAGGAGGTGAAGGTTGGAAATTGTAGTCCTATCATGTGTCCAGAAAGCCGAGAGCCAGAAATATTTGGAAAATGAATTAATGAATACCACTGAGGATTTCCTTTCATTTTTGTATTTGTTTTTCTGATTTTTGTTTAACTCCTAGTTTTTGCTAGTTAATTGAATTTCACTGTCACTCCTCCCTTGCTTAATTTGAGACAATATGAGTACATTTATCTAAGTGATACTTATAGTAGTTTATATTATTTCCATGGTTCAGAAGTTCTGGTACATGTAGTATTAAGCTACTAGGATTTCCCTACTTAAAATACAAGGTATGAAACTATTTGATGCAAAAAGATACATGGTTACAAGAATGGTTGAGTTTAAATTATTTCAGGGCATCGTTTGTCATTGTAGAAATAAAAAGACCACAGGCTTTGGAGTCAGGCAGGCCTAGAGTCAAACACTGCCTCAGGCATTGGATATGTGATCTTAGGCAAATTATTTAGCCTCTCTGAGCCATAACTGCCTCATTTATGAATACAACAAAGTATAAATATATCCACTCAGATGTCAAGTAAAACACAGTGGCATTTATTACCACTCCTTTCTGAATTTCCACTGAAGTGAAAGTAAAATAATTTATTTTCAAAATGAGTAAGGACAGGCCCTACAGACCCACACCTGTAATCTCAGCACTTTGGGAGACTGAAGCAAGAGGATCACTTGAGGCCAGGAGTTCAAGATCAGCCTGGGCAACATAGTGAGACCCTGTCTCTACAAAAAATTTAAAAATAAAAAAAGAGAAAAAAATAATAAAGAGTAAATCCATAAGGACAAAGAAAATGGGAGAGAAAATGGAAGAGAAGATAATAGCAAAGGGATGATAGTGGTGGACTATCCACTATCCACTAACAATGGTGGACTATGTGTAGTTATATTGTTATATGTGCAGTAAATATTGAATTTTAAAAAGTGATACAACTATATTGAGAGGATGAGGGGAGAGTTGGGAACAATAAAGTAAAAAAACTGTGGGAAATGAGATAATATCTGAAGCTGGAAAAAAAGTCAAGAAATAGAAATAAAATCATATTGTGTAGAAATACCAAGAATAAATATGGGGGTTGGAGGGGACAGATAAAATAGCATTATTGCCTCTGGAGAGAATGGGGGTTGGAGTAGGGCCAGTATATTTGACTTATAAAAACTATGGATGCCTTTTTTTTTTTTTTTTTTTAATGATTACTCTGATTTGAAAAATGAGTTTAAAAACCAGCCCCAAAGTTTTGTGGTGGGTATTGAAATAATAATAAAAACTTTTATGGTGCCTATGAACATACCAGGCCTTTAATAAATACTAGTTTCCTTCCTTTTGTCAGCTAGATGGGGTATGTGCCTACAGTAAGTAATATGATTCAGAGGGTTAGGTAGTTGGCTAAACAGCAATGTAAGGTATGTCACAGATCAAACTATGTGCCTTTTAATCTTTTTTTTTAATGGATGGTTTTATTTTTCTTGGAACCTTAACAACCTAATGGTTACTGTTTCTTAGAATTTAGACTTCTGTGTAACTGACACATGAAACGTGACCCAGTTATTGAGTGACTCTAGTAAAGCTATGCATAGAACAACTTTAAAGATACTTAGCAACTTTCAAATTACTCTAATAAACCTGCAAATAATTATATCTATACCTAGATTATACATTATTTAAAGCCAGGGACATTTTCTTTCTCTTCTATAGTTATTTCAATTAGCTGTTTTATTTTCATGGTTCACTGTACCTATCCCACTACCACCTTTGTTCTTTGAGCACTCACTATGGTAGATATAGTGTTTGATGTTGAAAGCAAAGCAGCCAGTAGTATAAAGCTCTTGTATGTTTCATACATAACACATACTGTATAACTAGACTGAAAAGGCCTTGTGGACAAAGACCGTATATTTTGCCATATCAGTATGTTACATAGCATCTAGGAAAATGAATGCTATGCAGTAATAAATATTTATTTACTCATTAGATATATACTCTGTGCTTGGCACTGTGCTAAGCTCTAAGGATGTCTTGGTAAACTGGACAGATGTGGCTCTTGCTGTTATAGAATTTATATTTTAGCAGAATGCTTGTGAATTCCTATAATCCAATAAAATGCCCATGCTGAACCATTTAAGCAGTAAAAAGCATTGTTTATATAAACAGCTTAATAATTTTAAGCTATGTTTGTTGTGATTTAAATGCATGCTATAGAAAGGAAATGGTGGTATCTGATTTTTTTTTCTCTTTGCTTTTCTTTGTAGATAAGATGCTCCAAGTCCCTTGCAGTTCTCCTCAGAAGAAAAATCACTAGTGCTCTGCTCTTGCCATAATACCAAACCTTTTTGACTTATACTTTGGTGCTGCAACACTGGAAGAATTGCACACAGGTTCCAGGAATAACATTTTTTAAAAAATTTTATTTGAGTGATTCCTTGTGGATGGAAAAAGATTTGAGTCTTATTTTAATAATTACTTTGTTTTAAAGCTATTTCTCTATAGTCTGAACTGCTTAATAAATTGGGCCACTTACCAATGAGCCACACAGCCAGTTCTTGTCAAGAGCTGGTTGAAAACTGTGCTGTGCATGTAGCAGGGATGGCACAAGAAGATAGCCGCCGTGGCCAAGTGCCATCTACGTTTTATCATGGTGCCAACCAAGAACTTGACCTGTCCACCAAAGTGTACAAAAGGGAATCAGGAAGTCCTTATTCTGTGTTAGTGGACACCAAGATGAGCAAACCGCATCTCCATGAAACAGAGGAAGAGCCATATTTCAGGGAGACGAGAGCAGTGTCTGATGTGCATGCTGTTAAAGAAGACCAGGAGAATTCTGATGACACGGAAGAGGAGGAAGAAGAGGAAGAAGTCTCTTACAAAAGGGAGCAGATCATAGTAGAGGTAAACCTTAATAATCAAACATTAAATGTATCTAAAGGGGAAAAGGGTGTCTCTTCACAGTCCAAAGAGACTCCTGTTCTTAAGACAAGCAGTGAGGAGGAAGAGGAAGAGAGTGAGGAAGAGGCCACAGATGACAGCAATGACTATGGAGAGAATGAAAAGCAGAAGAAAAAGGAGAAGATAGTGGAGAAAGTCAGCGTTACACAAAGGAGAACGAGGAGAGCTGCCTCTGTTGCCGCAGCTACCACTTCCCCTACTCCTAGAACTACAAGAGGTCGTAGGAAGAGTGTAGAGCCACCTAAGCGTAAGAAGCGGGCCACAAAGGAGCCCAAAGCACCAGTCCAGAAAGCTAAGTGTGAAGAAAAAGAGACTCTGACCTGTGAGAAGTGCCCCAGGGTATTTAACACTCGCTGGTACCTGGAGAAGCACATGAACGTTACTCACAGGCGCATGCAGATTTGTGATAAGTGTGGCAAGAAGTTTGTCCTGGAAAGTGAGCTGTCCCTTCACCAGCAAACAGACTGTGAAAAAAACATTCAGGTAGGTTTCATCACCGAGAGGGCAAACTTTTCAGGATAGAACCTGGCTGTTCAGATTCATCTTGTATCTGCCCAAGAGAATAAATACAATAGAGGCTGAAGGGACAGATTTCACCAATTTATCATTTGAAAAGCTCCTGCTTTGGTCTTTTCAAAACCGAGGCTTAACATTTTATTTCAAAGGCATTACATTTAACTGACGCTGGACTAGTGGGAACCCAGGTACACTGGAAGGGGGATCTGTTATAGATGATTGACCAGGAGGTAAAGTCCACACCAACTTTGCACTGAGATTCACTGTTGTAGAACATGTAATATAATTCATTCTGGCATCTTCTCTGTCAAGGCGGGAGATACTGAGTGAAGGTCAGGAGTAGAGAAAGGTCCCTTTCTAGCCTTAAAAGGATGCCAGATTCTAGTGCAGCTGATGGGGACAAAAACCATAATGACTCAGACCGGTGGAAATGGAAGATCTCCAGGAGTGAGTTTGCTTTTACCAGTGGAGAGATGACAACACTAAATTTGTCAAGAGGCTGAGTGAGTCCATGGGAATATGCAAACTTTAAACAGAGGCTGAGCTGGCTAAAAATGTTACCCACCTGGCAGTAGGGGTACATAATGCTACTATACAGTATTGTTAAAGTAACAAAGTATGGTATTCAAACCAGGTTGATGTCTTGAAAGGACTATATTGCAATAGGTTAAAAGGTATGTTAATTATATTATGCTGAGCAGATTGAAGCTATATTGGTTTGCACATGTGAATGCATATTAGTGAATATTCATTAAAAAGTCTATTAATGTCTCCATAAAATATGTAAAATAGAAGTATCCTGTACCATGTTTAAGTTAAACATTTTAAAAAAAGATAAATTGTTTTGGTTTGTTTGTTGGAGTGCTGCTAATATTGGTAGTCATAAGTTTCACTTTTCTTCTGTTCTTTTAATCAACAACTGAGATCATTGCTTTACTTTAAAGAAAGTTTTGAAAAATAGAAATTGCATTGCTAAAAATTCACTGCTTTTGATTCATCAATTGTGACTTGATCTCCGACACGCTGGGTAAATAAAAGAAGACTGAGTCATGGCGCCCATATCTTCCAGTAACTGCTAACGCCCTGGCATGGTTACGAATTGGTTGCAACACGTCAGGCCTAAAGGAGTGTGATGCAGTGCTGCACCCTAGAGGTCGAACTGGACTCTGTAATGATTCATTATTCAAAAGTTGTTCTTGATCTTTATATATTGGGTTTTTTACTTAAATTTGCTTTATTAAGTTACAGAAAACATTTGATAAATCCTTTTTTGTGACTTTCCTTGGTATTCATCATCCTAATACTTTTATGGTTGTATTTAAGTTTTGTGGATTCTGCTAAATGAAAATGAACTCTCTTCATATTCCTGTGCTTTATTCTTATGCATAGATCCTAATAATCCTGGTGACCTGGTAGCAAGTAAAAATTTCAACCCTGCCCTACAAAATGGCTTATAGGACTAGTGTGTCCTTTTCTAGAGCAATATCTAGTCAGAGGCTTATCTTTTAATTTGTGTCAAGAGTTCTTGTTTACTGAAGTGGCAATGATATTCAGAGATCTTTATTTATAGTCAATACTAACTTGTTCTCTAAGTATCCCAGAGTCTGATAATTACCACCAACTTTTTGGTATTGTTTTGCTTTAACCAGAAATATTTTATTTTGATGTACTTTGATACTCCAGGCTATTAATAATTCATAATACAAGGGCCCAGGCAGTGTGGCATGTGTTTTCTATAGATGCTCTAAATCTGGACTATAGGGGAAAAGGGAGAGGGATACTAATAGTTTAGAGATTATGTTAAATTCTTCCAGAGGGAAATGTTTAATAGAATAAATTACATCTGGGAAAATATAATAAAATCCCAATTATTTGTGTTAATGAAGACTCTAAGTATATTTTGTAAGGTATAAAAACATTTTTATACTCCTGTAGATCTATAGCCATTAATATATATTCTGTTTTATCTTGTTTTCATTTATGCTAGTTTAAGTTAGTTGTGTTCTCTGGTAAAAACCTATTAACTACATCGTGACCCATGTGTAGGAGACAGCTGTCCTTGCTAATCCTTATATTTAAGAAACTTGAAAGTTCTTTTCATAGGTATAATACTAACTTAATAATAGCAGTCAATTCTTTGATGTTAGTGGAACTTTCCATGTTTTATCTTAGCTTTTGCCATTGTTCTCATACTCCCAAAGCATGTCTAAAAGACGCACCTTGGAAAATAGAACACACAGATATTGGTGTTGGAATCTGCACTCCGTGGAAGAATAGCATTTCCCTGGAGTCCGGCCTTGTGCCATGTACCTAAAGCACATCCATTTCATCTGCCTATAGTCTGGTATGGCTTTCTGCAAGCCCCTGTAAATAAAGATTCTCTCTATTTATCCTGCTCAGTGTGTTTCCTGTAACAAATCGTTCAAGAAACTCTGGTCTCTTCATGAACATATCAAGATTGTCCATGGATATGCAGAAAAGAAGTTTTCCTGTGAAATTTGTGAGAAGAAATTCTATACCATGGCTCATGTGCGGAAACACATGGTTGGTAAGTTTTTTTCTGCTTTTCTCTCACACCTGTATTTTTCTCTTGTCCTTTAGTGTGCTTTGTGCCCTGGATTGGGCAAGATATGAAGAATTTTCTTACTTTAATCAGTTCTGACGTGTTGAAACTAAATGTAGCATGTCCTCAGTAAGCATCACCAGATTGGATGATACGGTCTTCTACACCTATATTTTTTTTCTTTTTTTTTTTTTTGAGACAGGGTCTTGCTCTGCTTCCCCAGGTAAGAATGCAGCAGCATCGTCATAGCTCACAGCAACCTCAAACTCCTGAGCTCAAGTGATCATCCTGCCTCAGCCTCCCAAGTAGCTGGGACTACAGGCATGAGCCACCATGCCCAACTAATTTTTCTATTTTTAGTAGAGCTGGGGTCTTGCTCTTGCTCAGACTGGTCTCAAACTCCTGATCTCAAGCGATCTTCCCTCCTTGGCCTCCCAGAGTGCTAGGATTATAGGTGTGAGCCATGGTGCCCAGCCCCAGATTTCTTTTCAACACTCTTATTTTTCTCTTCAGAACATTACTATTTCTTTTCTTTTTTATAAAGTTTTATTGCTTTAAATTATTCTTTTTTTCCCCTTTTTAAAAAATTTTTCCTGAACTTCTAATACTGTGAGAGAACATTACTATTAAAGCCTCACAAATCAGAGTGTAGAAAATTAAGGTGGCATAATTGCCTTACAGTGGGATATCTGTCTTTTCCAGTTTGAACTTTTTGGTGGATTTGTTTTGAGTATAAGTGCATTCTGTGTTGCAGCACACACGAAAGACATGCCATTTACATGTGAAACCTGTGGAAAATCATTCAAACGCAGTATGTCACTCAAGGTGCACTCCTTGCAGCATTCTGGAGAGAAGCCCTTCAGATGTGAGGTAAGGAATGTGCTACCCACAGGCCCAGGCATAGGGTCAGCGTTTGTGTAGATGGTGTAGCAGCCAGAGAGGTGTGTGCTGGAGCACAAGCCACAAGGCTGCCTGCTACAGAACCTTCAGACTCGTGCTCTGAGCTTTGTGTGTTCTCTCGCTGCTAGGTAGAAAAATGCCATTTTTAATGCACTGTTAACTCTCAGTTTGGGTTAACTTGAGAATAATACATAATGACTTATTTTTCTTCGCTCGGTGACTCAGAAAAGTTAAGTATATTTCAGTGATAATGATGTGAGGAAATTTCCTTTCTATTAGTAAGTCAGCTGCAGAATTATAGCAAAGCCAAATAGCTGACACAAGCAGGTTCTATTTTGAGGATAAAAAAGAAACCTAATGTCAGAGACTGTGTTAGGCTGGGCTCAGGTAAAGCTGCTGTGCTTGGCATTCAAACATCTCCACTGTGTCCAATGCAGAACTGTGATGAAAGGTTTCAGTACAAGTACCAGCTGCGCTCCCACATGAGCATCCACATTGGGCACAAGCAGTTCATGTGCCAGTGGTGCGGCAAGGACTTCAACATGAAGCAGTACTTCGACGAGCACATGAAAACACACACTGGTAAGAATTTCTTGGGAAAGGTACAGATATGTCTCGAGCACTTGTTCATGATCATCTGTGGGTCTGTTTTTCAAAAAGCTACACCACAAATTTGCATTTTGTGTGAAAATCCCTCCTTAAATAAACCTGATATATAAAAATACAGATTATAATACTGAAAGATTAGGCTCTCATAACTCTGATTATTTATAAAAGGATTATTTGTGAGTGCCTTTTAACTGGGAGTTCTTTTAAGACCATGAGTTCTTTAATTGGGGTTCAGAACTCCTGAAATTATATGAAACTTGTTTTGTGCATGTTTTGCGAATGTTATTTTTCTAAGGAAGGGGTTCTAGACCCTAAAAAAATGGAGGGCACTGACTGCTTATTTAATACCCTTTCAACATTCTTAAAGTTTGATTGGATTTAATTTACCAAAATTCACTACTTTTCAGGAACACATCCATTAAATGAGATTAAATAATATTTTAACCACTTTGTGATTTTAGGGGTATGTGCTCCCTAGCATGGATTTGAATCTTATGAGCATTTGATTATCCAGCCTCCAGGGGACTGGCTAAAATAATAGCTTCCCTTGTAAACACCATCATTGTATCACAGTTTGAACTTGATGTTCTGGAATTAGCCATCTTTGCATAAATTGAACAGTATGAAACATTTTTTAGGTTTCTAAATAAAATCTAATCCTAGGATTCCAGGTTCTGTTAGTCTGCAGAGTAGCAGAACTAGAAAGAACCATGAGATTAGCTTGCTTAGCCTGCTGTTCTTTTTGCTTAACTAGTGGTGAGGAAATTCTGCCCATGGCTGGATCTCTTTAGTTCCCTTTTCTCTATTGAAGTCCAAAGAAAAATGCCTGCCTGGTGGGCTTCTTTCTCATTCAGAACAGAGCACCCTCAGATTTTAAGGATTAGGCTAGATGAAGAGTCATGAGAATAGTTAAATTAGTTAAAATAGTTAAATTAGACCTCAGAAGATCATGCTAACTTTGAAGATGTAGCCAATGGATACCAGTCTTGGTGATATGTATTGCAAAATAGCCCTCCACATATATTCTCACCAGCTATGCATAAAAATACCCATTTGCCCAACACTCCATCTTTTTTTTGAAACAGTATCTTACTATGTTCCCTGGGTTAGAGTACAGTAGTGTCATAGCTCACTGTAACCTCAAACTTTTGGGTTCAAACAGTCCTCCTGCCTCACCCTCCCTAGTAGCTAGAACTACAGGTACACACTACTGCACCAGCTAATTTTTTTATTTTTTGTAGAGACAGGGTTTTCCTATGTTGCCCAGGCTGGTCTCAAACCGCTGGCCTTAAGCAATCCTCCCACCTTGGCCTCCCCAAGTGCTAGGATTACAGGTGTGAGCCACCATGCCCATCCCCAATCCTATCTAATACTAAATAAAATCTTTGTTGCCGATAGATGAGAAATGGTATCTTATTATATTAATTTGCATTTATATAATTCCTAAGTAAGATGGAATATTTTTTCTTTTTTTTTTTGAGACAGAGTCTCGCTTTGTTGTCCAGGCTAGAGTGAGTGCCGTGGAGTCAGCCTAGCTCACAGCAACCTCAAACTCCTGGGCTCAGGCAATCCTGCTGCCTCAGCCTCCCGAGTAGCTGGGACTACAGGCATATGCCACCATGCCCGGCTAATTTTTTCTACATATATTAGTTGACCAATTAATTTCTTTCTATGTATAGTAGAGACGGGGTCTTACTGTTGCTCAGGCTAGTTTCGAACTCCTGACCTCGAGCAATCCACCCGCCTTGCCTCCCAGAGTGTTAGGATTATAGGCGTGAGCCACTGTGCCCAGCCCATTTTTTCTTTTTTTTTTTTTTTTTTTTTGAGACAGAGTCTCTCTCTGTTGTCCAGACTAGAGTGAGTGCCGTGGCGTCAGCCTAGCTCACAGCAACCTCAAACTCCTAGGCTCAAGCAATCCTCCTGCCTCAGCCTCCCGAGTAGCTGGGACTACAGGCATGCGCCACCTTGCCTGGCTAATTTTTTCTATATATTTTTAGCTAGCCAATTAATTTCTTTCTATTTTTAGTAGAGACAGGGTCTCACACTTGCTCAGGCTGGTTTCAAACTCCTGACCTTGAGCGATCCACCCTCCTCGGCCACCCAGAGTGCTAGGATTTACAGGCGTGAGCCACCACGCCCGGCCTGGAACATTTTTTCATATGCTTGTGGGTATCAATCAGTATATTTTCTTTTCTGAATTGCTTCTTGTGCCTTTTCTGTGTTCATCTTTCCATTATAGCATTTGACTTTTTTTTTTTTCTTGAGACAGAGTCTCGCTTTGTTGCACAGGCTAGAGTGAGTGCCGTGGCATCAGCCTAGCTCACAGCAACCTCAAACTCCCAGGCTCAAGCAATCCTTCTGCCTCAGCCTCCCAAGTAGCTGGGACTACAGGCATATGCCACCATGCCCTGCTAATTTTTTCTATATATATTAGTTGGCCAATTAATTTCTTTCTATTTATAATAGAGACGGGGTCTCGCTCTTGCTCAGGCTAGTTTCGAACTCCTGACCTAGAGCAGTCTGCCCGCCTGGTCCTCCCAGAGTGCTAGGATTACAGGCGTGAGCCACCTCGCCCGGCCTTGACTTTTTTTAAATTTCAAAATATTGATTAAGGGGTTACAAATGTTATTGTTACATGCATATCTGGTATAATTCTTAAGTGAGGGCTTTTAGTGTGCCCATCACCAGAATAGTGTTCATTGTACCCAATAGGTAAGTTTTTATATCACACTCACTCTCTTGCCCTCCCAACTTCTTGGTTTCTCATGTCTTTTATATTGCTTTGTGCCTATGTGTACCTATCTATTAGCTCACATTTTTTAGTGAGAACATATGATTTTTGGTCTTCCATTACTGAAATACTTCACTTAGGATAATGGTTTCCAGTTCCATCCAAGTGGCTGCAAATGACATTATTTCATTACTTTTTGTGGCTGAATAGTACTCCATGGTATGTATATACCACTCATGAATTGATGGGCATTTAGGTTGATTCCACATCTTTGCAATTGTGAATTGTGCTAAGATAAATTACTTTTCTTATTGTTTATAATAGCTCTTTGTATGTTAAGTATACTGGACCTATTTGACACCACTATTGAAACACTTTTCCCTGATTTGCCATCTGCCTTTTAATATTGTTCGTAATACTCAAATGAGGAAAGTAGCTGGATGATGGAGTTAGGAATACCTGGATTTCCTCTCACTAGCAGAAGAGTGTGACCTCTGTAGTCCTTTAGTTTCTTGGTATTAAATAAGAATGACAATAGTACTTGAAAGGGTACAGGAGAAGGATTAGCTTTAAAGAAGGAAAAGGATAGGTCTTATGAGGCTGGATGAAATCACATTTAGAGACAGCAGTATGTTTTGGTGGGGATTAAGGTCATTATAGGAACTCACATTGAATGGTCTGTTTTTTTGCAGTTAAAGAGAAGTGAGGTAGGCTAGGTGCTGTGAGTCATGCCTATAGTCCCAGCTACTTGGGAGGTTGAGGCAGGAGGATCCTTGAGCCCAGGAGTTTGAGGTTTCAGTGAGCTGTGATGATGCCACGGCGCTGTAGCCTGGGGGACAAAGTCAGATCCTATCTCCAAGAAGAAAGAAAGATAAGTGAGGCAGATCTTTCAGGGAAGCTGACTGGCCATCAGGCGGATTTCCTAGGTTGGTATGAACATGAGGTGACTTCAGAGTAGAATACTTGCTGATTCTCCCTATACCATTATCAGGTACCTGGGGACATAAGGATAAATTAAAATCTGGTTTCTGCTCTCAAAGAGCTTATAGTCTGACAAATGAATGGTAATGATAGTGATGATGATGATGATAATAATAGCAGCTAAAATGCCATAAGCATCTATTCTGTGTCAAATACTGTTCTAAGCACTTTACTCGTGTTTTGTATCACAGTAACCTATTAGGTAGGTTATTTGTTTTTCAGATGAGGAATCTGACGCTGAGAGATTAAATAACTTGCCGAAGGCCGTCTGATTCCAGAACCACATACTTAATGATTCTGATATAAATTTAATGTAGCAAGTAATAAAATAGAGGGATATGCAGGACATCATGAGTATAAAAAGCACCATTGTAAGATCTAGTTCACAGCATCCAGGATTTGTCAGTGGATTCAAGTAGATCAGGATCAGAGGGACTGACATGTGCTAAAGAGTCCAAATGATATATAAACAAAATTGCTAATTTATTAATTTACAGTGAAAAGGCTGAGTGGCAAGTAGTTCAGAACTCTTAATGTCCTTTGGTCAGCGTATTCTTTGCCTAAAGAAAAATCTACACTAGAAGCTAGAGTAAAGGAAGGTAATTGAATGATCTTTTTTTTTTTTTCTTCTTTTTTTTTGAGACAGAGTAGTCTCTCTCTGTTGCCTGGGCTAGAGTGCCATGGCGTCAGCCTAGCTCACAGCAACCTCAAACTCCTGGGCTCAAGCAATCCTCCTGCCTCAGCCTCCCAAATAGCTGGGACTACAGGCATGCACCACCATACCCGACTAATTTTTTCTATTATAGCTTTAGCTGGCCGATTAATTTCTTTCTATTTTTAGTAGAGATGGGGTCTTGCTCTTGCTCAGGCTGGTTTTGAACTCCTGACCTTGAGTGATCCTCCCATCTCGGCCTCCCAGGATTACAGGTGTGAGCCACCGTGCCCGGCCTGAATGATCTTAATGATGAGTATTATACTTTAATGACTCTGAGAAGCCATCAGTTACAAAACAAACTTCAATTTATATACTGCTAAGAAAATGCTGCAAATTAAACAGTGACATGCCATTGATAAGGTATATGCCAATTTCAGAGGTGTTAAAATGTGGAGGAAATGCACATCTTAGAATTAACAAATATTTACTTATAAATATTGATTAAGAGTCTACTAAATGGGGCCACTGTGGTGAGTGAGACTGAGATAGTCCTAGGTCCACAGAACTTACAGTCAGGCTGGGCTGATAGACTAGCAAGGCCTGCATGGTTTGGTGGAAAGAACACAGTCAGTGTGTCGAACTAAAGAGTGTTTGGATGTGTGAGGGGCAACGAGTATGACAATACATGATACTGGAGAACAGCAAATAGATCACAAAGAACTTCATAAGCCATGTAAAATATTTTGGACTTTAAGGGCAGAGAAGTTCTTGTAGGCTTTTGAACAGAGTGTCAGGTGGATATTGCATAATCCAGGTGACATTTGCAATGATAAAACTATGATAATAGCAATAGATAAACCCATAGACAAGGCAGAATCGAAAGAACTTGATGATTGGTTAGATATCACCAGGATGGGAGGGAAGAATAAAGGATCAGTCCCAGATTCGGGGCTTTTATACCATTTGTCAAGATAGAGAATAGTAGAGGAAGGAGCAGGTTTGCTGGGTGGGATAATAAATTTAATTTTGCACTTGTTAGTTTTGAGATATCTGTGGGACATTCAAGTCAAAATATCCAGTAAGCAGTTTGAAAAAGCCGTTTAAAGTTCAAGAAAGAGATTTATTGGACCTAAACAGCTGTGGGGAAAAAATATATAAAAAACGAAAATTAAAAAAAAAAGAAAGAGATTTAGGTTGGAAATATAGGCTGTGTGTGGTGGTTTATACCTGTATCCCCAGTGCTTTGGGAGGCCAAAGCAGGAGGATTGCTTTTAGGTTGTGAGTTTGAGACCAGCCTGGGCAACATAGCAAGACTCCTTTGCTACAAAAAATAAAAAAATTAAACTGGGCATGGTGGCATGCTCCTGTAGTCCCAGCTACTCTAGAGGCTGAGGTGGGAGGATCACTTGAGCCCAGGAGTTCGAGGCTGCAATGAGCCATGATTGTCCCACAATTCAGCCTGGGCAACAGAGTGAGACTCAATCTCAAAAATAAATGAATAAATAAAGTAAAACATCGCTTATAATCCCATCACCTAGAGACAATCACTGGTAACATTTGCTATATTTGTTTCCACATTTTTTCTGTGTATATCATTAAAGGTAGGTAATACCATGCATATGTTTTCATAACTTGTTTTACATAATAGATTATAGATAATCTTAATAGATTATAGGTTTTCATGTTAATAATTACATCTCTAACACATTGTTTTCAATGGTATTTTCCATCATGGTATGGAAATTCTGGTATTTTCATATACTGTAATTGATTTAATCAGTTCCATTTAACATATGATTTGAAGTTTTTAAGATGATTGGAGGATGCCTTGGATGCAGTGGCTCATGCCTGTTATTTTAGCACTCTGGGAGGCTAAGGCAGGAGGATCACTTGAGGTCAGGAGCTTGAGACCCCATCTCCACTAAAAATAGAAAAAAATTAGCTGGGTGCAATGATGCATGCTTGTAGTCCCAGAAGGCTGAGGCAGGGGACTGCTTGAGCCCAGTAATTTGAGGTTAGAGCGAGCTATAATGATGCCACTGCACTCTAGCTGGGGCAACAAGAACTAGACTCTGTCTAAAAAAAAAAAAAGGGAACACAGGCTGGGCCCGGAACTCATCCAGAAAGATGAATATGAATCATGGTGAAGAACCTAGCAGTGGCAGTGATTTAATAATGAAAAGCAGAAAGAAAGAGAAATATGATAGTCTGAAAATAGTACTGACAGTTAATTACAGAGAAAACTGATCACTCCTGACTCTTCAATCCAATCTGAGGAAAGTGAGGAAAATTCTGGCTTCCATGGAAAAGGGCAGTAGAGGATGTCAGTTTTCTACTAGAATGAGAAGGTAGAGAGAAGAAATAGGTCTATGAGGCCAGGTGCGGTGGCTCACGCCTGTCATCCCAGCACTCTGGGAGGCCGAGGCGGGCGGATTGCTCGAGGTCAGAAGTTCAAAACCAGCCTGAGCAAGAGCGAGACCCCATCTCTACTATAAATAGAAAGAAATTAATTGGCCAACTAATATATATAGAAAAAATTAGCCGGGCATGGTGGCACATGCCTGTAATCCCAGCTACTCGGGAGGCTGAGGCAGGAGGATTGCTTGAGCCCAGGAGTTTGAGGTTGCTGTGAGCTAGGCTGATGCCATGGCACTCACTGTAGCCTGGGCAACAGAGAGAGACTCTGTCAGAAAGAAAGAAGAAAGAAAGAGAGAGAGGGAGAGAGAGAGAGGAAGGAAGGGAGGGAGGCAGGGAAGGAAGGAAGGAAGGAAGGAATAGGGCTATGATACATTCTTTCTTGTGTGCAGAAATGCACATTGAGGTGGGAAGTGCTGTGGTTTACATGTCAAAAGTATAGACTCTGGAGCCAGACTACAGAGTTTTAAATACCAACTCTCCACTAACCTTGGGCAAGTTTCTTAATTTCCTCATCAGTAAAACAGGGTCAATCATGTACCTACTTCATATGCTGGTTGTGAGAATCACCAAGGCTAACAGATACAAAGTGATCATAGCTCCTAGTGCATAGTTCAGTGCATAGTTCCTAGTGCACTGTGAGACTCGGTACGCATGAGAAGAATAATCATACCTCTTTGGAGGAAAGGCAGCAGCATTGAAGTGACAGCAAGCTCTTGTAGCAGGAGCTACTGTAAAGATACGAGCTACGGAGAGTACGTGCAGGAATGGATAAATACGGCATATGGTCACCAAAGTACATGCACTTGGCTACTCCACACCTCACCTCAGGATCCAATACGAGATGATTAATGGATGTAAAGACTCAAAAATCATTTTATTTCTTATATAGCCTGGGTAGAGAAGCAGGCAGACATAGCAGGAACTAAGCAATAAGTTCAAAAGAAAGTTAAGGAAGCTTAAAAATTGAGGCTTCAGAACCCAAACCTAATTTCTTCCTAAGTGTGCCTTAGAACTATGGGATTCTGTTTCCTTTTTGACTCACTAGCCCAGTGGTTCTCCACCAGGAGCAGTAGGTCCCCCCACCCTTCCCACACCCATGGACATTTGGAAATGATGTGGGGGCATTTTTGATTGTTAGAATCTCTTGTGGGCATTTAGTAGGCTGGCACCAGAAATGCTGAATTCTCTTCAATGTGCCAGATAGTCCTACAATGAAGAATTATCTGTAAAAATGCCAGTAGCTCTCCCACTGAGAAATACTGCTGTGTGAAATTCATGTTGCAGGGTGAGTCAGGCCAGTATTTTCCAAGTTTAATACCAAAAAGCAAGCTACATGCTAAGGATTCTCTGTGAGTAGAAAAGAGATTTATTTGCCCCACAGAACATTTCCAGCAGTCTTACTTTTGGTTGGGATATCAGAAATGTCTTACAACTTGCCTAAATTTAGAGGCAGAGACTCATCTGTGATATTAGTTCCCCTGAGCACAGGAAACCCATTGGAACAGTTCTTTGTGTCGGATGTGAAGGGTGGCTAATCTAGATGCCTCTTCCTCCCTTTCACTTCCCCTCCTCCTCCTTTAAACCAAGCCCAGATGGTAGGTTGTATGTAAGTTTTGCTTGTCTCTACTCTGCTCTGTTAAGTCCCAATTTAGGGGACTCTTTTGTGACTCTCGAATATATTAATAACATGCCATGAGGGAGAAGAGTAGTCATCTCCTTTTTAAATATGAGGAATAGCATAAACACATAATTACCACCTATTATGTTAATAATTTTTTGTGTCTGTGTTCATTTAGGAGAGAAACCCTTTATCTGTGAAATCTGTGGCAAAAGCTTCACCAGCCGCCCCAACATGAAGAGGCACCGCAGAACTCACACAGGCGAGAAGCCCTATCCATGTGATGTGTGTGGCCAGCGGTTCCGCTTCTCTAACATGCTTAAGGCCCACAAGGAGAAGTGCTTTCGAGTGACCAGCCCCGTGAATGTGCCGCCTGCTGTCCAGATCCCACTCACCACTTCCCCAGCCACCCCAGTTCCTTCCGTGGCGAACGCGCCCACAACCCCAGCCCCTCCCATCAGTATGAACCCCGTGAGCACTCTGCCCCCGCGGCCCATCCCCCACCCCTTCTCGCACCTGCACCTCCACCCGCACGCGCACCACCCGCACCACCTTCCCATCCCTCCCGTCCCCCACCTGCCCCCGCCGCCGGCTCTCTTTAAGAGCGAGCCTTTAAATCACAGAGGCCAGAGTGAGGACAGCTTTCTGCGGCACCTGGCGGAGAAGAACGGCTCCGCACAGCACCATTAACGTCGTCCCTAAGCGCGTTCTCTGGGGGTTGCGTTCCCACGTGCGAGCCGGCCGAGGGAGGGAGTCGGTGAGCGAGTCTGTAGTTCTCAGACTCCCCTCGGCCCCCACCAGGAGCTCTGTCATTGCCTTGGTGAATCAGCAGGTCCGAGGGAATGAACACGACGACTACCTTGAGCTCACGGAGGGAACTGTCTTCTAAACCAGGGGAACCACCGAACTAAAGCCCAATTTGCTTGCATTTTCTGGTGACTTTTATAAGTTTCAAATACTCAGACTTGTGGAATTTTATAATTTCATATCAGCTGATGAGGTATGCTTGCTTTTATATCCTGGACTTCTCCTCAAAGAGGGGATAGGCCTGGTTTCCTTGTACTAATCGGGAAGGCTGTGAGATTAATCCAGAGCATTAATTGTATCACTGTGTATGGTAAGGAATTCTTTTCAGCTTTTGGTGCTGGCTACAGAGTTGAGCTGGCTATGTTTCACAGTATATCAAGCATTATAGAGAAAGATGGAAATTTTCTTCTTTGTGTAGCTCTCCTAATGCACTCTTTATTTTACTACAGAAATTATTTTAGAGTTTTTGTATAGACTTCTTTAGTAGTCTGTTTCTAAAATGAAATGTATTTCAATAAGCGGTGTAATTTTTTCAGTGTAGCTGAACCTATGTTGTAAAATAGAAAAAAATTTTATAATCATCAAAATGTGATTCTTAAAGATGCATATAACTCCTATAATTCAAAGTTATTCTTACATCCGTACAACTCAAAGGTGCTTCAAAGACTAGATGTATCTGAGAGGGTCTCCAGACCAGGTTACTGCAAAAATGAGGTTTTGCTTTCAGAATTTTGCATAAGTAATTGGTAGTTTTTAAATCTCTGCTGAACACTCAAGTATCTGTTAGACTCAATGACATGCTCCTGTCCCCTGAGTTCCATTTGACTCACTTAGTGCATTAAATTAAATGATTTGCAAGGGGTTGGGTCTTTTCCAGGAAAGTCAACTAAAGCTTGCATGTTTTAAAAATTTGAGTAAGGCTGTTCACGGCCAAGAGGAGGAAGTAGTGGAGATTGTTTCATCTCAGTCACGTCTGTTTGTCACTTCCCTTAGGAACTGGTTCATGTTTTTCTTTTATGGGATGACAAATTGAAATCTCTCAATTTGAGGTTGCTTTATTTTTCTAGAATTGTTATGAGAGAAAAATAGTAACTAAAATCACAAACATGATGTTGCTGATAGTGGTTGAGAAATTTGGGTGAGAAGAAAAGTTGGTTATGAATTTTAAAATGTTATTTATAAAATATGGATATGTCTACAACTTTGAGCTATTTTAACACGGTTAAAATTGTATTGAGGGAAAACTCCTAAGTTTTGCTGTCCGGTCTTCTGTAAATAATTATGTGATACCAGCATTCTTAGGTGATAAAGAGAGTTGCACCTCTAATACCTTTAGGCAGGTTACTTTTTTAAGTTTGGGAAATTTCAAAAGAGCATGATGAACCAAGAGCTTATAGGAAAGGCTAGACAGAAGGGCTAATATATTGAGTACAATTAACTGATCCAATATATCCAGACTCAGTATAGCTTAAAATTTTATATTTCTTTATCTCAAAGAACTGAGTTCCCAGGCTAGATCATTCCTCTATCTTTTTTTTTTTTTTTTTTCCCCAAGAGATGAGGTCTCCCTATGTTGCCCAAGCCAGAGTGCAGTGGCTGTTCACAGGTGCAATCATAGCTCACTGCAGCCTTGAACTCCTAGGCTCAAGCGATCCTCCTGCCTCGGCCTCCTAAGTAGCTGGGACTACAGGCACAAGCCCCTGCACCCAGTCATTTTTTAAATCTTGAAATCTCTTCATTTTTCCTTCCTCAGGCTGTTAAATCATTGCCTGAATCAGAACCCTGGCTTTTATTTATTTTTATCTTTAATATTAACTGTGCAGATATGCTTCAAGCACTTTTCTAGCTGATTGACTCTGTGGTAGGAAAAAATGGAACTCCTTCAATTGATGTTAAGTCTCTACTTTTAAAATATCACATTCTCTAATAGCTTTTTGGTTTAATGTTTTTAAATTTTCTCCTTCTGATTTTGCCTGTCTTTTATAATGAGCATAGGAAAATTTTGGAATAAGGCAGAAAAGTATCTCAAGACATATTTTTCTTCGTGTTTTTGGATGTAAGTTTTAAAGAATGGTATTTTTAATATTTGTATACATTGTTTGAGCACCCAGGTACCCAAGCCAATAAGGAAAGCTAATTCCTTGCTTATGACTGTTATATCTTTAGTGGTTGTCTCCCCTAACCTCCACAATCTCCTTAGCATTCCAGAACAAGTTTGCAAATCTACACTTTTATATAGACATATCATTATTTCATGGTCAAGCCTGTAGTACTAAAATGTTTTTTTTTTAAAAGATGTAAATTATAGCTTAATTGGTTACACCTTATTTTATTCTAAATAAATTTACAGTATTGGGCAGCAATTCTGAATTCTAGACTTCAGACCATTGAATCAGCCATTTCATGAGGTGTACTATAATTATACACTGGAAAATTCAGGTAGTAATTTTTAATTTTTTTTCAAGTAAATACAGCCATAAGAAAATAGCTGCTACACAGGAAAACCAGTATTGAGCAAATATCACCACCATCCTTAACAGAAGCAGAAAAGAATTGTTAAAAAAAAAAAAATAGCATTGTCACACAGTACAAATCTTAGTGAACTGTATTGTGGAACAATCTAGAAACTTCTCTTTTTTTTCCCCTAGATAAGTATACCTTCCCTGACTTGGGGATTTGTGGTCTTCAGGAAAATTGCTCAGAATATAATGACTCCTTATCAGTGTCCTATTACATATGAATAATGAAATGCATTAAGAATATTCACAACATTAATACTTCTGAATATAAGAACTGTAGGATTAAGCCTTAAACATTTTGTATCAGGTTTAACATGCTTAAGACTCAAACTCAGGGTTGATAATTTGGTTGGGGTCCTGTACTGAGATAAAAGTTGCATTATGTGGTATGTTCTCTTCCACATATGCTGTAGCACCCCATGAATTCTTCAAAACTTATTACCTACATGTATCTGTTTATGAAAAAAATTATGGAGGAGTTTGAGTTCTCAGCCCTTATCCATACTTATATCTTTTAAAGACAACAAATTGAGGGTGTTCCTCGTTACTTAATTTTACTGTCTTCAAAGGCTTGAATCATTGCTAAGGTTAAGACTTATTTGAAGAAAATTCCCAAGGACTTTTTTCAGTTGGCATTGCATTTTTTGTGTAGTTTTTCGTTTGTTTTTGTTTTGTTTTCACTTTTCTATTCGTGGATTTGTCATTCAAATATAAACTCTTCTTTAGCCTTAATAAAAGGCTGCTGCTTTCTCAAATTGAGTCAGATAGGCTCATACTGAGTTAGATTTTTTAATTTGAATGAAGAAAAGAAGATGAACAATTTAAAGGCATGCGGCTTCATTTCTAAGTATATTTGTGATTTGATTCTTGTTTTTAGCAAGCAGGGGAGTTCTCTGCAAAGAAACTTACTGAAAGAAACCTTTACAAATCAGTCACATATACTTTTATGGTCTACCATTTACATTAACTGTTATAAATTAATGACCGAGTGTGTGTACATTACCACAGTTGTACTACTTTTTAAAAACTATGTTTGCTGAATGGACCTTTTTATTGTGGTTAGAACTTTTCCTATGATTTGATTGTCCCTACTACACTACCTGAAGGCAAAATGCTCTGAAGAGATGCTTGTAAACTGAATTTTTTACTTCTTGAAATTGTTTTCAGTTTTTTGTTTATTGAATGGATATGTATGTTTAGTTTCATTTTTATTTCACTGGAAGTTTAAGTTTTGAGAAGGTGAAACAGAAATAGAAATCCATTGCAGACATAACATGTTTACCCCATCTTGCAGATTTTGGTTAGTAAAACAGAAGGGTAGGTGGGTTTTAATGTTAAAAAAAAATCCTAAAAAACTAAAGTTAGAGAAACCCTTCTGTTTGAGCTACTGTATAGAAAAGATAACTTTTATTGCATCGCTGATCCACACGATGAATATTTCAATGCTGTTCTAGACTATATGGGAAGTATTTCATGAAAAAGGGGGATAAGTTACATTTAAGAATTTTATCAGCTAACTACCATTAAAAAAATCACCTCATTTGGAATTCTTCAGACTATAAAATTGAGCAAATAAATATTGGGTTTTAATTTTCCTTTGCCTAAACCAAGATAGGAAGTTTCCCAAAAGATCACTTTTTCAGGAATGAAAGGTCATAAGCCACTAGAGGTAGTGGCATTATTATGCAATAACAACCTGCTCTTGTCATCTGTAGCATTTATAATAAATAATGATGACCTTCCAACCCTGGACACTACCTCGATGAAGCAAACCAGAGATCCTCTCTACACTTTCTATGGAAGCCATAAAAGTTGCCATCAATATATCCACTTTCATAGTTCTATACTTTTATACTCCCTAGACTTTTTATAGACTTTATGATCAGATCTTTTTGTCTTAGAGGATAGGTTTTGCAAGATTCAAAGGAAAATCAAACTCCTTGGTTGTCCCAACTGTGAAGCTTTAGCTTCAGTAAATTTGTTTAAGGAACCAGATAACTAACTAACATACTATTTATCAAATTCTTTATTTAAGTCAAAACTACTTTGCAGAGTTGCATATCTGGAAAGCAAACTTCTCTTTCTTGTTCCCTAGGTAGAAGAAGGTATATTGTCGTAAGAAACTACTCATGAAGTGGCTTTCTTTCTACCTTGTTGCTCTGTGTATTACTCGATAATATATGTAATGTCACAGTTCCTGGAGTTGTTTTTATTTCTTTGTAACAGATGTGTGAGTATACACCTCTCTAATCTTCTAATCTCACTGCAGCTTCAGTCTCTCTCACTCTGTTCTTGAGTGCCTTCAAAAAGCCAGCATCCTGGAACATTCTTTTCCTAGTCTAAATCCTACCTCTGATTATTTCATTCTCCATGGGTATTGGAATCCACCCTTATTCCAATGAGTTTAACTCTATAAACTAGCTAAAACGTTGGAATTTTGAACGTATTTCTGTTTCGTTCCTCCATGTCATTTTTAGGTTACATTTTTAACTTTTATTTATATCTTATTTCTTTACATATTACATCTTTAGTGTTGAAAGAGTTTATCATTATTTTACTTTTTACCTTCTTTCCTTTCACCGGAAACTAGATGTTCCTTTAAAATTAAAGGCCGTCGAGTATATGTCTTTTGAGTATTACTTTTTCTCATCTGAAGTCTTCCTAAATGCCTCGCCTTTCTGATTAAGGGATCCTGAATGCTGCTGTTGCTGTGCCCTGTTCCTGCCTGCCCTCTCTCCTCCATAAGCATTTGGCAAGGTTGTACCCATAATTTTAGTCAAATGAGCTTAAAACCGCTCTCTGGGTTTATTGAAAGTCCTTTATTCTTGATCTGCCTCTCTCATCCCCTGTCCCTCAAACACCTCTATTTACTTTCTTTTCTAGTTGTTTTCATCTAATTCATTTTTAAAGTATGATTGATACATAATATATGAAGGATGTAATAAAAAGAGGGTCACAGTGTTTTCCATGTGATATGAGCATCTCCATGATAAAACATTTTAGCAATTGGCTAGTCTTTCATAGCCAAGAGTGAAGTTTGTGCTGTGTACTAGTCTCTTGCTTCCTTTCAATTCTCCTTCAAAACTAAAAAAAAAAAAAGAAATCTTTAAAATGAGGAAATTGGATTGCATTTTTTTAGGTGAATGAAAGCTATTGAATATTTTGGCCTTAGTCAAAATGTTTCCTTTCTGACTTAAAATCTCATGACTCTTTCCTTAAAGTTGATAGTACTCAGGTTTTTAAGACTAACTAATAACCACACAAGATGGGAGTCTAAGAAGGCAGCTGTTATTAAATTCTTAATCTTTTTTGTCTGGTGACATTATGTTATTGGTGAGACAGCACAGAATTGTGAGAATTGGTTACGTTTGATAATAAATTCAAGACATTTGAAGACTTCACTGGCTATTTGGAATGGGAAGACTAGTTTACAAAATGAGAAAGGTAGATTTCTGTATTACAGAAATCAGTAACAAGGGTTTCTCCTTGTTTTAAATACCTTTCACTTAATTTGCCTTGATGTTCCCCATTATTGACTTAGAAGTTTGCCTCTTCGGTAGTAACCGGCTACCTCTAAAGTATCCACTTTAAAATTTGTAGCTTTTCTCTTCAGAGTCCCAGGCAATAAAACAACGGAGAGCCATACTTGCTTGTCACTTGGAGGAACCACGCCCTCTGAGGCAGACTGCTGTCTTGCTCCAGGTCTTCAGTGGGAAACACTTGGCACAGTGTCAAAGGGAGCCCTTCCGCCTGAGAAGTGTTCCCATAGCTTGCTACTTATAGGTTGCTTTCACACTACTTTAGCTTCTCTGGTGAGATCAGGGATGTTACAAACTACTTGAAAACAATTTTGGGGACATGTAGGAAATGGGGATGGGACAAGAAGGGGTGGAAGCTGAATTTTGCTTAAGGAAAATCAGAAGGAAACTGATGCTTGCATTGGCTACTTGTGATCGACTGAAGAGCCTGTCTCTGTACTGGCTGTGCCAGAGAATCAAGTTTCTTTAAATACCCACTCCTCTGAATGAACAGAGCTTCCTCCCTACCTGTCTTTTACTGGTGAAAAGGGACTATGTGATCAGAAGGACAGAGGCTGCAACTCACACCCTGCATAGGACACAGACTGTGTTTCACTGCATTTGAAAGTTGGTGGGAATTATTTTAGTCTCCTAGAACTCCTGATCCTCCTAGAAATATCTTTTCATGCTTGATTATTCAGTGCATTAATTTAAAAAGAAACAGTATGGCACAATTTTGGTGTTTACTTCTTGAGTTGTATTACTTCTTGAGTTGTATCCCCAAGGGTATATGCGTAGCTTCTGAAAATCAGATGAATTCTTCTCTTCCATAAGGTTGAATGTGCATTTAATTCACTTCCTGACATGGGCTGTGTGGTTCTGTTCCAGCAGCAGTTCTAGCTTTGTCCACCAGGGGACGATAACGTACTTTGGCTTCTTTATTCCTGCCCTTCTAAAGATCCTGCTTGTAAGTCTCTTTTGGAATATCCTCTCTTGGCTCAATGTTTATTTATATATTTTGATTATTTAAGAAATTTTCCCTTATTACTAAGTCCAGAAGTTCTGCAGCCCTCATGATGCAAGCAAAGATTGATGTGAGGATCTGGTCCTTGTGGGTCAGGCATCTTAATTAGCCTTTTTTAATATTAGTGACCCAATATTGAAAGACAGGACCTTCCCATGGGGGATCCATTGTATGCTAAATGCAGAGTAGCAAGGTGACCCTCATTTCTTTCTTCCACATCCCACCACCAGCACAGGACCATCCCATCTCCGAGAGGGACAAGAGGGGCAGGGGAGCTCTGGAGTTGGGAACTGCTCGCCTTCTCTGCTGCAGAGGATATCCGTTAGGGAGCATGTCCTCCACCGAGATCCCACATCCTGACCTGTGCAGCAGGCACCCCTCCAGGCTCGAATTCGGTCTGTGCTCCTTCTGCCAGCTACTTGTCTTAGGGTTCCTAGCCCTCATCAGCTCTGTCACCATGAGTTTTGTTTACCGCAGCATCTTCTTCACAACAAACAGGTCGTGATCAGCTAAGGGGAACACCAGACTAAATATTTCCCTGTAGAGCCAGGAGGCATTTACATCTGGAACGGCCTTCTTAACTGACTTCTGCCTGGCCTCTTTTCCTCCGGTCAAATCTGAACCTGAGCAATACCAGATACACATAGTGGTGTCTACCTGTAACTCCAACACTTGACAAAAAATAAACAAAAAAAAAAACCTGAAGCTGTGATTGGTTCAGGTAGCAGGTGGCCAGGTGCAACTTGTTTGTTTTTATTTTTGTTTTCCCCAACAGTACTGAAATCACTTGCACTTTTCCTCATTTCTTAAAAGGAAATCCAGTTTGCTTGCCAGGAATTGTTTAGCGTTAGGTTTACAAAGCTTGTTATTGAATGTTGAATATTTGTCCAAAGGAGTTTGACAAAATAGAAGCTGCTTGGTCCCTGTTCTGCCTGCTAGGTCATAAGGATTAAAGCCACGTGGCTGGGGTACTTATGTCAAGTCCGGAATGGGGCAGTGTCCCTCTCCTACCTCTCTGCGGAGACGCAATTGAAGGTCAAGTTGGACTCAGTGTAGAGCAGTGATCTGTCATGCTGCAAAGAAGTTTAAAGGGGTCTTTTGGTTGGGGAGGCGACAAGTACGTAGGACAGGATCTCTTAAGATGGGAAAGATATCGGGGAGGGGAGGGTTGCTTGGCCCCAGGGAACTGCAGGGGAGTGGACCCGAGCTGCATGCCTGAATCTCCAGACTAGCCCACGCTGCCTGGCTTCCCTGAGTCACCTTCTTTCCAGCATCCTGTCGGATCCCTCATTGTACTGATTTTCCCCCTCGTGTTAACTATACCAATATTATTTTTTTAGCAATTGAAATGCACTTTTTTATTTCAACTCAATCATGATTTTAAGTATAAAGAATTTATAGATTGTTAAAACTACTTTTTTTGTGTGTATTTTTAACCACTCAATGTAGCATTGTATATTTTATTCTTGTGAGACTCTGGTACAAGGTGTGCCGCTTAATGATTTTTCCAAGATGCTGGGCCTTTGGATGTGTACGGTAACCAACTTAATGCTAATGTTCAAAGTAAAAAAAAAAAAAAAAAAGCAGCCATAACCCTTGTGTGTCTTTCTTCACATCATTTCTTCCTTATCCTTGGTTGACAACAGTTTGAGGCTCCCCTTGCTTAATGAACTGTCCTTTCTATGTAAAATGAACAATTCTACAGTCCTCATCTGCTGTTATCAGTTGTTCTCTCCAGTGATGGTGATAGGCTACCTCAAGCCCCCAACCGCAAACCCCAAATCGTGCCCGACTTTGTGAATGACACATTCAAGGCTGTTGACCAGTTAGGTTGATTAATTCGTTCTTTGCAGTGCTGCCAGGCCCAGTGCCAACTGGTTTTAACACTGTGTCTATAATCATATTTTATATATATTATAGACACATATATATGCATATATATTATAAACATATAGCTGAGCAATAATCTGAAAATATCCTTGAGAACAGTGTTTGGGAAAAGAGTCAGGATTGGGTCCAGAACCAGTTTGAAGAGAAATAAACACACTAGCAACAGCTTACAAAGTACAGTGAAAAGCAATGATTGTAAAATATAGCGCTTGGGATGAGGCTCCTATCCCTACCCCCCTTCATTCATTTGTTCATTTCACAAATGTTTATCAGCTGCCTAATGCATGCTGGGCACTGAACTGGCCTCGGGATTCAGCAGCATGCAAAACAGAGTCCCTGCTCTCCTGGAGGCTGCTCTCCAAATGGAAGAAGCCCAACGACAAACAAGTAAATGGTTACCTAATAGATGTCAGCTGGTGTGGCCACTGTAATGTGACGCTTGCCCTCAGAGCTGTGACTACAGCCAGCTGAGAGATCAGCTATCTTCTGTCCTAAGGCTTTCCAGCTCATGACCCAACCTATTTTGTCCTTTCTAAGGAATCCAGTACCCTTATTTAGCATATAGAAAGGAACTTTGATTGTTCAAATTCTGCTTTGTTTGAAACCTCTTAGAATGGAACAAAATTGCCCAGATTGTAGAATTACCATTTTCATTCTCCATCATCTTGTATCTCTGACCAGATGTAGATGGTTACACACTATTTCTTCTATGGGTACAAGATAGATACTCCCCCCCGACCCTGGTATATGGTAAACCAGTGGCTTTCAAACTTTGACTATGACCCATAGCAAGAAAGAGATTTTTACTTTGCTATTTAATACAGATATATATAAACTTATTTATATAAATGAATAAACATTTTAAGAAAAATATCTGGGCCAGGAGCAGTGGCTCATATCTGTAATCCCAGCATTTTGGGAGGCTAAGGCAGGAGGATCACTTGAGGCCAGGAATTAGAGACCAACCTGGGCAACATAGACCCCATCTCTAAAAAAAATTATTTTAAATTAGTGTGGTGATATGCACCTGTATTCCTAGTTACTCGGGAGGCAGAGGCAGGAGGATCTCTTGAACCCAGGAGTTCAAGGTTACAGTAAGTTATGATGACACCACTGCACTACAGCCTGGGTGACAGAGCAAGATCCCATCTCTTTAAAAAAAAAGGCCGGGCTCACACCTGTAATCATAGCACTCTGGCAGGCCAAGGCGGGCAGATTGCTCGGGGTCAGGAGTTAGAAACTAGCCTGAGCAAGAGTGAGACCCCCGTCTCTACTAAAAATAGAAAGAAATTAATTGGCCAATTAAAAATATGGTGGCGCATGCCTATAGTCCCAGCTACCAGGAGGCTGAGGCAGGAGGATTGCTTGAGTCCAGGAGTTTGAGGTTGCTGTGAGCTAGGCTGACACCACAGCACTGTAGCCCAGGCAACAAAGTGAGACTCTGTCACAAAAGAAAGAAAAAGAGAGAAAAAGAAAGAGAGAGAGAGAAATAGAGAGAAAAAGAAAGAGAGAGAGAAAGAAGGAAGAAAGGGAGGGAGGGAGGAGGGAGGGCCGGGCCCAGTGGCTCACGCTGTAATCCCAGCACTCTGGGAGGCCAAGGCGGCTGGATTGCTCTGAGGTCAGGAGTTCATAAACCAGCCTGAGCAAAAGCGAGACCCCCATCTCTACTATAAATACAAAGAAATTAATTGGCCAACTAAAATATATAGAAAAAAATCACCCTGTAGTCCCAGCTACTTGGGAGGCTGAGACAGAAGGATCATTTTTTTTTGTTTTTGTTTTTTTTGAGACAGAGTCTCTCTCTGTTGCCCAGGCTAGAGTGAGTGCCCTGGCATCAGCCTAGCTCACAGCAACCTCAATCTCCTGGGCTCAAGCAATTCTGCTGCCTCAGCCTCCCGAGTAGCTGGGACTACAGGCATGTGCCACCATGCCTGGCTAACTTTTTTCTATATATATTAGTTGGCCAATTAATTTCTTTTTATTTATAGTAGAGACGAGGTCTCACTCTTGCTCAAGTTGGTTTCGAACTCCTGAGCTCAAAGGATCCACCCAGCTCTGCCTCCCGGAAAGCTAGGATTATAGGCATGAGCCACTGCGCCTGGCCAGGATTGTTTGAGCCCAGGAGTTTGAGGTTGCTGTGAGCTAGGCTAACGCCATGGCACTCACTCTACCCTGGGCAACAAAGTGAGACTCTGCCTCAAAAAAATAAAAAGAAAAGAAAAGAAAGAAAGAAATCTGCGTGCTGGAGTGCTGCACTTTAATATATTTTTTTAAAGGGCCATCCTAACCCCTGTCATTCCAGTTTTAGTATATGTGCTGCAGAAGCGAGCACTGATATTTTCTATTTTTAAAAATGCTGATCATGAGCCACTAATTTAATTTTAAGCCTCACTGATGAGTCCTACCTGGAGTTTGAGAAATCCTGTCCCAAAACAACATTATGTGCATTATTTTCTTCCATCCCTTTCCAACAGAAGGCTGATTTTAATTTCATATAGAGTCAGGTTGTTTTAACTGGATCTTCCAACACCTTAAGCCTTATGTGTTTCTGTTTCTGACTGGGTCCAAACTCCTAGGCTCCCACACGCATTAACTGTTGCTCATTCCAGTGCCCTGCATGGAGACGGTTCCAATCCCAGGCACACTGCAGTCCTTTCTCACCAGAGCCTGTAAGCCCCTGCTAGTATCACAGTAGGTAATCAGAACTACTTCTTCACAATTTAAATATAACCTCCCTTTTGAAGGTCTCCATGGTAAATTCTTATAATAATGATTGGTGATGAGTATTCAAATTCTGGTATCCACACCCTTTTGTAATGTGTCCTTGCCCCTCCTTCCACCACTTCCCAGTAAGAGGTATGGTCTTTCTCCACTCCCTGGAGAATGGAGAATGGTCTTCTTTAACCAATAAAATGTGGCAAAAATGATGTGCAAGTTCTGGAGCCTATGCCTCAAGATTCCTTGCAGCTTCTGCCTTTGTTCTCTTGGAACACGACTGCCAAGTAGAGAAGCTCAGGCTAGACCACTGAGTGATGACAGCTGCGTGGAGAGAGATTGCCCAGCTGTCCTTGCCAAGCCTCCAGACATGGTGAAGACGTGTCAGACCCACCTGCTCAGCTCACCCACCAAGTAAATGCGTGCTTAGGAGCCCAGGTGAGACCAGCAGGATAACCACCCAGCCAACCTACAGAAATAAATTATTGCTATAAGTCACTGAGATTTGGGGTGGTTTATTTCTCAGCGATAGATAACTTGAAAGAGCCCCCGAATTTAGGTCTAACAGTTACTAAGAGCTTCTATTAATATCTGCAGAGTTTCTTGTACAAGAAGCTTAACTGAGTACAGGTTGAGCATCCCTAATCCAAAATCTGAAATGCTCCAAAATTTGAAAAAAAAATTTTTTTCTGAGACAGAGTCTCACTTTGTTGCCCAGGCTAGAGTGAGTGCCGTGGCGTCAGCCTAGCTCACAGCAACCTCAATCTCCTGGGTTCAAGCAATCCTTCTGTCTCAGCCTCCCGAGTAGCTGGGACTACAGGCATGTGCCACCATGCCTGGCTAATTTTTTCTCTATATATTAGTTGGCCAATCAATTTCTTTTCTATTTATAGTAGAGATGGGTCTCGCTCTTGCTCAGGCTGGTTTCGAACTCCTGACCTTGAGCGATCCATCCGCCTCGGCCTCCCAGAGTGCTGGGATTACAGGCATGAGCCACCGCGCCCGGCCCAAAATTTGAAATTTTTGAGTGCCAACATAATGCTCAAAGGTCATGCTTAAATGTTCATTGGAGCATTTTGGATTTTGGATTAGGGATACTCACCCAGTAAGTATATAATGCAAATATTCCAAAATCCAAAAATAAAAACAACTCTGAAACACTTCTAGTGATAAGCATTTCAGATAAGGGGTACTCAACCTGTAATTGTTTTAGCTATTTTTTTTTCAGGTCCCTGCTACCTCTGTTTCGAATCCCTGTTTAGCAACTGCAAGCTAGAAAAGAAGGAAGGTGTCCACGAGTCCACAGCAGGTTGCGCCAACACCACAACCATTTCAGGATTCCTTTCCACTGCATCTTCTGGCCTACTTTCCATGTTCCCAACCTTATTCCTGAACTTTTGGGTTAGGAAGTGCCTGGTTTTAGAGCCCTCTGACTGTACATCTTACCCTCAGTCCTTGCATCTAGCCTAAGGCATAGTAGCACCCTTTTAGCTTCAATATTCTGCAATAACTTTCATCCTTCCCAAGATGTTACTGATGGAGACAGTGTAGCAAAAGAGTTAGAAACACACTGGCTTGTTTGCAAACAAACTGGCCCGAATCTTTTCTACATAGTAATTCGCATGGCTACAAGTAGACAATTTAACCTCTTTAAGCCTGCTTCCCCATCTGCAAAGGGGGATGTTAATAACAACTACCTCTGGGTCATTGTAAGGATTAAATAAAGTAATGCAGGTAAGATGCTCAGCTCAGTGTTTCACAGGTAATATTTGTGACAGTCAGCTCTAAGATGTCCCCAGGGCTCTCCACTTCCTGGTATTCACACCTGTGTGTCATAATCATTCCCCTGCCCCCACAGTTGGGCTGGACTCTGTTAACGACAAACACAGTATGGCTGTGCCGGCGTTGGTGGTATAGCAGTGAGCATAGCTGCCTTCCAACTACAATGTGGCAGAAGCGATGTGATGTCACTTCCAAGGTTAAGTTAC